CCCCCCCCGTACAGCCCCGCCCCAGACACCGCCTCCGAGCCCTGCCCCCGCCCAGTTTCGGGGCCGCCCCTAGGTCGGCCCCGCCCCCGGCCCCGCCCCGACCGGAAGAAGCGCCGACACCCGGCGCTTATAGGGCTGGGCATGGGGGTGCTGCCACCGCCTAGTCAGCTCTGCGTCCGCTGAAGTCCGGCCGCCGCGGCGCTGTCGTCGCGGCGCCCCCGCCCCGTCCTCAGCCCGCCCGCTCGCCCGCACCGCCCCCCCGGAGCCGGCCGGCCGGGCCGGGAGCCAGGCCCGAGAACTCGCCATGCCGGCCCGGCTACTGCTGGCGCTGCTGGCGCTGCTGCTGCTGCCTGGCCCCGGGGTGAGTGACCGGGGGAGCGTGGGGTGAGGGACGGCGCGGGGCGGACTGGGGTCCGAGCCGGGAGCGCGGCGGCGGTGGCGGCCCAAGGCCCCGCGCGCCCCAGCGGAGGCTCGGGCAGGGCGTGGGAGACGGCGCCAGGCAGGGAGCGAGCACCTCCGGGCCGGTCTGAGTGGCGGCGCACGCCACCCGAGGGGCCTCGCCGGCCAGCGCGGCTGTCACGGGCAGCGTCTCCCGGGGCCCCGTGCGCTCCCGCACAACTTTGCGGCGTCCCGGCGGCACCTTGGGGCCTCGCGAAGGCCCCGGGCGCTTGGGAGGCCGCCCCACCTGCCGGACCCTTCCCACAGGTGGGCGCCCGCTCTGCCTGGCGGTGGCCTCGGGGCAAGGATGGAAGGGGCCCTACAATCGAGGGGAAGGAATGTCTTGCGTTTATAATCCTTGTTTGAACTTTTAAAAATGCGAGAACTTTGGGAAACGAATGCCACGGGGTGCGGGCAAAGCATTTTTACCTGCGAGTGTGATTCTGCTTACCTGCCTTGCAGGTTTCTAAGTATTCAGAGGCAGGAGGCTTCCTTTTGTGCACCAAGACTTCGTGAAGCAAGTTAAGCTGCGGGATTTACTCTCTTTTTAAAAGATCCCATGTGGGACAGCGGTGAAGCCGCTTCAGAACTTTAAATGAAAGACTTGTCTCCTCACGTGAGAGCACTGTGGAGCGGTATGAAACGTGTTTTCATCTCTTCCTGGAGAGAAGCGCCTGGATTACATTTATTTAACTATTTAAGGCCTTTCCTCAGGCTGTGGATTTGGGCCCCGTGGCTGGGGAGGACATTTTGTGGACAGACTTGGCTTTTTTCCTTCTAGTTGAAAAAAACCTAAATTAGTGGTTTTTTTTTTTTAAAACTCCTTGTTCAGGGCGCCTGGGTGGCTCAGTTGGTTAAGCGACTGCCTTCGGCTCAGGTCATGATCATGGAGTCCCGGGATCGAGTCCCACATCGGGCTCCCTGCTCAGCGGGGAGTCTGCTTCTCCCTCTGACCCTCTTTCCTCTCGTGCTCTCTATCTCTCATTCTCAAATAAATAAAAAAATCTTAAAAAAAAAAACCAAAAACTCCTTGTTCAGGTTGTGGGTATGGTACATTGGTTCAGGTTCTTGTTTAATGACTTCCACTATGTACCTTTTAATATGGTATATCATGTACCAGGTGTCCAGGTGGAGAATTGACATGTGTGTACCTGAGTACCACAGTGTGAAGTCTTCGGAGGTTATGCACTTGGTAAATAATAGTCTGTGCTCTTGGAGTAACAAGAATTTGGAAATAGATGAAGTAAAATATAAGATCACCCTTTTCAAATTTGGGGGTTTTTTTAAGGGGAAAATTTGTACACACTTCGCAGTAGAACTCATGTAAGTTTTTTTTTTTTGAGATTTTATTTATTTTAGAACACAAGCGGGGGAAGGGGGAGGGGGCAGAGGGAGAGGAAGAAGCTGACTCCAGGCTGACCAGGGAGCCCCATGGGGTTTGATCCCAGGACCCTGAGCCCAAGGCAGATGCTTAAGACTGAGTCACCCAGGTGTTCCACGTTTTTCTTCTAATTAAAAAAGATAATCCACTTTCACAACTAGGGTCACATTTTGAACTTGAACACTTCACCTTGGTTAACTCTTGCTCGGCATCTATTCATAAATGAGAGTATTAAATAGAATGACCAAACAAATGATCTGGAAATCGATCATTTCATATCAGGACTTAGATATATATGGTTTTCTTTGCCACATCTTTCCATGGGATGTTATTTCACAGGATTCTAGTATTTTAGTTATTGAGTAACTTAGAGCCAAAAATAACTATTTAGCTTTAGTTGGGACTATAGTTTCAGTTTGTGTAAATATTTCCAAATTGTATTTAGAAATCCAAACTTCTCAAAGTTCATGGTAAAATATTCCAGACCCTTATCAAAAAGTTACATTTTAGTGTAACTGCTTTGTAAGTAAAATGTCAGAATTTCACTCCCAGAATTATCTACCAGTAAAAATTTTGATCCCCACACATAGAATTATTATTTTAAATTCTAAATGGAACCCATTGCAGAGTTTGCAGTTAAACTAGGCAACAGTGATGTCCCGCAAAACATATTGGGTGTAAAATTGGACAAACCTGAGTTCAAACTGGACACTAGTTAGCTGTGCCCTCAGATGAATTACTTTTTAGAGAGTCTGTTTCCTGATACATGAAGCGGGGAGAACTAGCACATGTGAGGGCACCTTGCATATCATAGGTAATGTAACCCCCCCATGTTTTTACTGTCATTTTTTTTTTAACGTTATACTATGCCTCTGCAAAGAATATTTTTCAATGCTCTTTTTTTTAAGTTTTAAATTTATTTTAAGTAATCTCTACACCCAGTGTGGAGCTCGAACTCATGACCCTGAGATCAAGAGTCGCGTGCTCTACTGACTGAGCCAGCCAGGTGCCCCAGTGCTGTTTCTTTTTGATTGATGAAATAACTAGGGCGTTGGAAGCAATACTGTGAGTTTCTTTCAAGAGTGTGTGTCTGATTGAGCCAGACATTGACTCATCCTAGGCTGAGACTCGAGGCTATCATATCCAAAATGCAGTAACATCGGTGTTACCTACTTCAGGCTGTCTCTTGTTAATCCAAATTGTGCTTATTTAGTGAGTGTTTTCCCTCCTTCCTGGGCCTGGCTCTTGTACCCAATGTTGGTTTGTGTTACATCATCGCTGTCCTGTAGTTCTCATTTAATGGTGTTTATGTACCATTTCTGTCAAGTACCAAACAGATTTGTAGCATGTGAGGCAAAATGCTTTCTTCAGCTATAATATATACGATTTCTTTTATTCAGCCAGTGTTTTGGTTTTAGAGGAGAATAAACAACGTCACTGAGAGCTGAGGACCATGTGTGTATGAAAACACACTGAGGATACCATCTGAGACATGAGTCTTAACTAAAAATGTCCTTACCATTTGCTCTGATAGTTATCACCCGCACGAATGATCCTACAAGGCAATATCAAGTATTTATACTGAGGCCGTGAGGAGAATGTTTCATTAAGCTCATATCAGGGCTGCTGATCCTGAAATTGGACTATAGTTGTTCACGTGTGTGTGTTTAGTTTCATTAACCTGCCTGCCCATCGGGCTTTCCGCAGTAGTTTAGCTTCTCAGAGCACAAGAGAAAATGTGTATGAGAGTTCCTCTTGAGAGTGTTCAACAATAGATCATATTCCTAAACATAAAACCAGTGAGCTATGTAAAGGTTTCTTCTTGTCTGGACAGAATAGTGCCACTTGCATGGTCCTGCGGGGGAGAGAGTTCTTTGCCTGCGTCAGATTTTGACTCCATTTTTCAGGTTGAGGAATCTTTGGATAAAGATTTCATTTTCACTGGAAACCTCTCTGGTTTGGGGATCCAAAGTAATCTTTAGGTTCAATAGTGTCTATGTTTTATAATGATCAAATGTTCTCCCTAAAGAGATGATATAGGCGAGAAAAATGTAATGTATTATTTTAATGGATTCAGTTTTTATTATGCACAAATAACTAGGGGCCTGTAACCTAGCAATATGATTAGAGTGTGATGCTGGCTTAAAAAATAGGGACAGTGAATCATAGTTTGTGAATAATAAACATGCTGGTTGGCTATATTTCCCAGGGGTTGGGGATTTTTTTTTTTTTTTCTATCTTTATCTTCACCTATATCCCCTGTTTGGTTTCAGACTTCCTTGCCTCAGAGCAACACATTCTTAGTGATATTTAAGTGAGTGCCACAGACAAGATATGGGCTAGGAAAAGTAGAACTTTTAAAAGTAATCATAAGCTCCCTGCTTGCATTCTTTTTTTTTTAATTTATTTTTAGTTTCTACATAATTTCTTTCTTTCTTTTTTTTTTTTAATGTAAGCTCTACGCCCAGTATGGGGCTTGAACTCACAACCCTGAGATCAAGAGTCACATGCTCGACTGAACCAGCCAGGCAGCCCTCTGCATCACTTCTGATTATCATATGATCTTTGTTCATGTACAGACACAGCAAATACAGCAGCATAAAAATGTGTGTTCTGTATTTATGTTTAGTTTCACAGAAGTTTTCTGTAACTGTTAGGAAATTTTCTGAGTATGTTATTGAATTTGTCACTTTGACTAGCACCTTAGTAAACCATCATCCATGTCAAAAGCATTTGAGCCTTCTGTGCCCAGCCTGAGGTTGGAGACAGGTCTTACTGACCAGGATCGGTATGGTAATAAACCATGCTTTGCCTAGTGGCCACCCTGCTGGGATCATATGGGTTGTTTCTAGTCTTCTTACTATTATAAGGAAAGGTATATTTCCCTTTCTTCAAATCTTCTCAGAGAAGTGTTTGGTGCTTTCTGTATAACATGGGAAGATTTTCAAAAATCCCTCAAAGTAATCCTATTTTTATAGAAATGTTAAAAAGCTTAGATAAGTCTAAATTAAAACAATAAACCTGTACTATCCAAACATTATCTCTATTAACATTTTTAAGAGCTTTATTGACACAATTCACATATCCTACAGTTCACCCATTTAAAGTATATAATTCAGTGGTTTTTAGTATATTCACAGAACTGTGCAAACATCACCACAATTTTGTAATATTTTCATCATCCCCAAAAGAAACTCCATACCTATTAGCTGTCACTCCCCATTTCCCACTTACCTCCCAGCCCCTGGCAGCCAGAAATCTTTCTCTATCTATAGATTTGCCCTGGACATTTCATAGAAGTAGAATCATGCTACATATGATCTTTTGTAACTGGCTTCTTTCATTAGCATAATGTTTTCAAGGTTCATTCATGTTGTATTGATGTTTTGTTCTTTTTTTATTGCTGAATAATATTCCATTATGTGGATATACCACATTTTGTTTATCCATTCATAAGTTGATGGACATTTGGGTTGTTGCCCCTTTTTGGCTATTATGAATAATGCTGCTATGAACATTTGTGTACAGATTTTTGAATGGCC